ACAGAAGCGCCCTCCTCACCCCAGCCGGAGGAAAATGTCGGATTTACCGGACAAAGAATCAACACCAGGATGCCCGTCTATTCTGGCGCCACCTACTGCACCTCCACGATGACCCCGGACCCGGACCCGGACCCGGACCCGCAGTGCAGCCTGGCACCCAAACACATCCATTCCCTTTCTCGCACAACGGCAGGAGTCCCCTGCCACGTGCTGCAACCGACTCTGCACAAGCTGACGCCACAGCAGCTCTTGCACGCCGAAAAAGCCAACCCACAGCTCGTGCCAGAGACAGATGCCTTCTGGAAAACTCATTGCCAGCGAGAGTTTAAAGAAGAAAAGCCGCAGGAGTGGGAATCGTGGCGAGAGATGTACCTGCGCCTTCGGGATGCCCGTGAGCAGCGCCTCCACCGAGTGACCACGGCCATCGTCGCCGCACAGGTCAACAAGCAGAAAGGCCGCCAGGCCAAGATGATCTTCTTCCCGGCAGCACCCAGCAGCACCCAGGCTCCTGCCTGCCACAGCTCCCACAGCAGCAGCTTCAGCCCAGCACCTGGGAGGCGAACCCCGGCAGCCAGAGCCAACGCCCCATCCAGCCTCGGAGCCACAAAACCCACCACCAAGAATCCAGCTCCTCTCATGGCTAAAGCCATTCAAGACCTCAAGAAAATATGCTCCCGCAGATGACTTCCCTGAGCACCGACCCTCCGCAGACAGTGGCACTGGGCCAGGGACAAGCTCCAAGAAGGGCAGTGTCCACCCGACCACGGAGTGCAACTTAGAAGCACAGCCACCAGCACTGGGGCCTGGGAAGCCTGCATCCTTCCACTTTGGCACTCGTGCACACACTTGGCGCTCTTCTCTACTGCCCAGCACTCTTGTGCGCTGCTCCCAGGTGGGATTCAGCTGTGAGGACACCTGGCCATTCCAGAGACTGAGAGGCCTCCCACGCCACGAGGCTTGTGGGACACATTGGACTCTTGTTATGAACTCGCTCCTTCTGTGGGAGAAACTGTGCTCTCCTGACCCAGTAGTTCTTTGGGAGACAGTGACATTGTTTCCACTCGCCCATGCCCCTAGATTGTACTTACAGGACTAATAAAGTGATTGCACAACTCACTACGCCTGCAGTCGTGGACTCTTTGTCTTGCCCATCTTAGAAACAAACCCAGAGCCGTGCCGAGTTCAGATGCATCCATTCGGCACATCAAAGTTTCTTTTCCAGCCAGTACCACAAAAACACAAGCAAAGGTAGCCCCTGGGGACCTGCCTGGTGGCGTAGCAGGTGATGCCACCCCTGCCTCTGCAGACACTCCCACCCCACCTCCACCCTCTCCACCATATGCACAGCCCTTTCCTGGCTGCTCCACTTCCAGTGTGGCTCCCTTCCAGTCGCCTGGCAGAAGCAGCGCCACATGCCCCAAGGCTTTGGGCTCCTGCACCCACAAGGGAAGCCTGCAGGAAGCTCCCGACTGCTGGCTCGGGATCAGCATTCCTGACTCCTGGGGAGAGAAAGCAGAGAAAGCAACCTAGCTCTCTCTCTCCATATATATGCCGGACAGAAAAAGGAGAAATACATCTAAAATATATATTTAAAATATCTATTTAATTTAAATATATTTTATATGTAAAATAATACAGGCATATTTTTTTCTGCAATCTGCTTTGCACGTGTAAATCAATAAAAATTAAAGCGACAAATACACAGGTGGGGGAGCCGCTGAGATGGCTCCATTGACTAATCCTCCCAGCAAGTACTGGGATCCTTGATGGACACCAATATGGGTCACGCCTGCTCCACTTCCCATCCAGCTCCCTGCCATTGCCTAGCAAAGGGGTGACACATGTCCCAAGGCCTTGAGAGCCTGCACCTGCACCAGCGTGAGAAACCTGCCAAAAGCTCCTGCTTCCTGGCTTTGGATCGGCTCAGCTCTGCCTGATCCTTCTTCTTCTTTTTCTTCTTCTCTTTTTTTTCTTTTTTATTAATTGCATTGCATTATGTGACACAGTGTTATGGGCACTGGGATTCCCCCCACCCCTCCCCCGAACCTTCTCCCCATGGTGGATTTCTCCACCTTGCTGCGTTACCACAGTTCAAATTCAGTGGAGGCTCTTTCATTGGAAGTATTTCTCAAGCATAAAGTCCAGTGTCTTATTATCCTAGTGGGTTCAACGATTTCTTGGTGAGACCATCTCTGGTCTGAAGGTAAAGCCAGCAAATTATCATCCCAATCAATTAAAAGCCCGAACATAACATCAACAGCCATTTACAACCTTATGCCATTAATTGACATGGTATTGATTAATAGTATGTTGATAGGAAAACGCGGTTTCTTAACTACATCCTGTGACTTCTTCATTGACATTTCAATTTTTGGTTTATATTCACCCTGATCCCATACAGTTATCAGTTTAGGTACAGTACATTTTTTAGGATGGGTGTGCAGAGAAATCCCCAATACACCAGTGAGGCGTTACTAATCTTTGTGTCCCACTTAGTGAGGCATGTTTGGATCCACGCTGGCCATTTCCTGTCTGATTCTAAGCTTTCCTTGTTGTCTGTCTGATTCTAGATTTTTGTTTGTTTCTATGTTTGTTTGTTTGCTTTGAGGGGTTACTGGAGCGATCCTAATGGGCACCACGAGGGAGCGTGGGGACCCAGAGCCGGAGCCAGGCAAGCACCAGAAAGAGCTCACCTCCCTAGTCCCGAAGGAAGTTTGTTATTCTTCTGTGTCAGCAGATCGCTCAGGGCTCCTGGCCGTCGTTCCGATGGCGCTGGTTTCTGCACGGCAGAGTCTGGACTTCTTCCATCCCCTGTGGAGGCTCCAGATGGGGGTGGGTGACCTCAGAGTTCTCGGCCTCCAAATCTGCCTGATCCTTCTTAGTGCTGCCAGCTACATTTTATCCAAACACCTCAACAATCCATGAGTACCCGTTTATTCTGGTACAAAGCAACCACATTCAAATCATCTGATAGTCTAGACATAGCTGTGCACGTGTCGAATGCACTTTGGTCGAATGAACTTTGCAAGATCCCTGGCCTACACACATAGAAAAGCATTTGCAGGGCCCGGCGGCACGGCCTAGCGGCTTAAGTCCTCACCTTGAACACCCGGGATCCCATAGGGTCGCCAATATAATTCCAGCTGCTCCGCTTCCCATCCAGCTCCCTGCTTGTGGCCTGGGAAGGCAGTCGAGGACGGCCCAGGGCCTTGGGACCCTGCACCCGTGTGGGAGACCTGGAGGAGGTCCCTGGCTCCTGGCTTCGGACTGGCTCATCACCGGCTGTTGCGGTCACTTGGGCAGTGAATCACCGAACAGAAAATCTTCTTCTCTATCTCTCCTCCTCTCTGCATATCTGACTTTGTAATAATAATAATAATAAGTCTAAAATGAAAAAAGAAAAGAAAAGAAAAGCAGTTGCAAAGGATGGATGGATCAACACCTTAGGGCTTCTGGGTTCTGGGGCATATGGTGTTTTTCTTTTATTGATGATCTTCTTGTTGCCGGTATTTCCTTCCGCAAGAGTTTTTTGGTCCAAAGTTAGGGTTCTTTGTTTCTTTAATTAACTTTTAAGTCACTTTCTTTATGTACTTTCACATATATTTGTATCAGAAAGGCAAATTCACAGAGACGAGGAGAAAGACAACTTCCATCCTCGGGCCCACCTCCCAAAGGGCCGCAAAGGCTCGGAGCTGAGCCCATGGGAAGCCAGCAACCAGGAGCTTCTTCTGGGTCTCCCACGCAGGCGCAGAGTCCCAGGGCTTTGGGCCGCTCTCCACTGCTTTCCCAGACCCAAGCAGGCAGCTGGATAGAAAGAGGAGCAGCCAGGTCATGAACCCACACCCATATGGGATGCAACAAAGGATTAGCAAGGTCAATCATGCTGTGGGGCCCCTTACACAGGATTGATGCCTCATCAACATAATCTCATCTGAGGCTTTGACAACAGCCAGGATTCTGAAAGCACTCAGAACTCACACAAACGCTTCATCCCACATAAAAATCTAAGCCTTACCGAATCATGAAAGCCAAAAGGCAAACAGGAAAACCCGCTGAGGGGTCTGGTGACATGATCTAGGATCAATCTCCAAGAGCCCCACCTCGTCGGGATTTGCCATCAATACTGACATCGGAAGGGAACAGAGCTTCTCCAGTCTTCCTCATGGTACCCCTCAACGTGAGACCGTCTAGGGTGAGGGCAAATGCCCCCAAAGCCCACTGGGGCTGTCTGCAGCTGCTCTGGCTCAGGCTCAGGGCTGCACACACTCAGGTCCCCAGTCATTCACTGCTTCCAGCATCCCTGAGTTGATGCCCACACCTCTGACACACACCGTGTGGCGGCCAAAAAAGCTCAGCCACTGCTCCTGCCCTCCCGGGCCAATCGGTTGCACTTGACACCAAACCTCCCCGGCCCGTGGTCTCCATTCCCTGGCTTTTCTCAGGCTGTGCCTTGCCACCTGCCCCCACCACAGCCCACTGGGCTCCAGTTCCTGTCTCCTTCACCTCTTAGGGTTCTATGCTACACTTCTTAGGCAAGTGCTCCCGAAGCTTCCCCTACACCCTAGATCCTAGGCCCTATACCCTCTATCCCACCCATCCCAGAATCAACACCTCCACCACCCCACACACCCAGCACCACCCCCCGCGGAGCCAGTGCCTGTGTTTGCCAGCTGGGGAGAACTGTGGTCCTTTAGGCGGGTGGTGTGCAGACTCAATGGGCGGTGCCTAAACCAATCAGCACAGGGTGGGCCTACCCTGGGGCGTGGCTCGCTAGCAGGTGCCTGGCTGGAGATTAAAGGCCCGCGTCCTGAGCCAGCTGGCTGGCTAGCTGCAGCTGCAAACCGCCAGTCCCGGCGCACTCCGCCACCACTGGCCCTGCTGAACCCGCTGGATCCGCAACCCCAGCACCCACGCCAAGCAGCCAAGCAACGCCTGCCCAGCCCTGCTCACCAACCGACCGCGCAAACGCTGCACACGCCCTCCACGCGGGACACACTGCCATGGCCACAGGACCGGCACTGCAAAAGGTCAGGCGGTTGCAGGCCCGACTGGCTGTCCACAGCGACCCCAAGAAACTGCGCAAGTATCTTAGCGAGCTCTCGGCTCTGCCCATGACCCCGGACATTCTGGCCGAGACCCGAGTCCGAAAGACCGTGAAGGGCTTCCGCAAACACCTGCTCGTGGGCACCTTTGCCCGGGACCTGGCGGCACAGTGGAAGAAGCTGGCTCGTGGTAAGTCAAGCTTCCTGCCGACCCCGCAGCACTGGGCGCCCAACCGCGAAGAGCCAGACGATGATGACAATGACCAGAAGCAGCGGGAGGAGGAGGAGGAGGAGGAAGAGCAGGTAGAGGAGAAAGAGGAGAAGGGTGAACAGGACGCCCACGGAGGCTTCTGGAAACCCTGGCCGGCTTGCGAGGGGCAGAGCCACAGCCCTGCGCACAGACGCAAAAGGCCCAGAATGCTTTGGACTCTCGAACCTCACACTCCCAGCCAGATGGCTGTCGACCAGGAGAGCGACCACGACGACCAAGTGCAAGCCAAGAGGCAGGCCAGAGGCGCCCGGGCCTGCTTTCCAGCACAGCACTTCTGCGAGTCGCCAACCCATCAGCTCTGGGCCGACTCTGCGGACCTGATGATGGCCCTGGAGCCCTGCACAGTCCAGCAGGAGGACCGCGAGCCCGCAGGGGGCTGCCACGCGCCTGCACAGGGACCCGCCCAGGCCCAGTCACTGCCTCAGCCACAGCGGCCAGAAGACCCGGAGAAAGCAGCCGCCAGCCCAAACCAGAAGCCCGCTATGTTCCCGCGCCAGGACGCCTGCCCGCCCAGGGCCAGCACACCTGAGGCGCCCTCGCCTCGCATCGCCTCCCGCCACAAGCCCCAGCCGCCCGCTGCACACAGCGCCCAGGCCGGCCCGCCCAAGGACACCCAGCACCCCGCCACAAAGCTCCTGCAGAGCGCTGCGGCCAAGCCCCTCGACCCGCAAGACGCTGCCACCAAGGAGCCGCCTATGACTTTCGAGCAGTACATGACCTACGACTACAACTACAACAACAAGAAGCGGCGGAAGGCTCGCACAACTTGGAAAGTCCTGCAGTCTCGGAAGGCCTCGGCTTCCCAACAACCAGGCAAGACTGCAAAACAAGATTCTGCCAGCACTCGCCAGCAGGTGCCTTCGGCTCCCCAATGCCCTCGGCTGAAGGAAAGCCAGGCAGAGAACCTGCAGCCCGCTGCAGCTGGCGGCTTAGCCCAGCTGGGAACGACGCCCACGCACGCGCGCCCTGGGACCCAGGACAGTCCCCATGCGCTGCAACTCCTGCCTTGCTTCCCACCAGCCACAGAAGCGCCCTCCTCACCCCAGCCGGAGGAAAATGTCGGATTTACCGGACAAAGAATCAACACCAGGATGCCCGTCTATTCTGGCGCCACCTACTGCACCTCCACGATGACCCCGGACCCGGACCCGGACCCGGACCCGCAGTGCAGCCTGGCACCCAAACACATCCATTCCCTTTCTCGCACAACGGCAGGAGTCCCCCGCCACGTGCTGCAACCGACTCTGCACAAGCTGACGCCACAGCAGCTCTTGCACGCCGAAAAAGCCAACCCACAGCTCGTGCCAGAGACAGATGCCTTCTGGAAAACTCATTGCCAGCGAGAGTTTAAAGAAGAAAAGCCGCAGGAGTGGGAATCGTGGCGAGAGATGTACCTGCGCCTTCGGGATGCCCGTGAGCAGCGCCTCCACCGAGTGACCACGGCCATCGTCGCCGCACAGGTCAACAAGCAGAAAGGCCGCCAGGCCAAGATGATCTTCTTCCCGGCAGCACCCAGCAGCACCCAGGCTCCTGCCTGCCACAGCTCCCACAGCAGCAGCTTCAGCCCAGCACCTGGGAGGCGAACCCCGGCAGCCAGAGCCAACGCCCCATCCAGCCTCGGAGCCACAAAACCCACCACCAAGAATCCAGCTCCTCTCATGGCTAAAGCCATTCAAGACCTCAAGAAAATATGCTCCCGCAGATGACTTCCCTGAGCACCGACCCTCCGCAGACAGTGGCACTGGGCCAGGGACAAGCTCCAAGAAGGGCAGTGTCCACCCGACCACGGAGTGCAACTTAGAAGCACAGCCACCAGCACTGGGGCCTGGGAAGCCTGCATCCTTCCACTTTGGCACTCGTGCACACACTTGGCGCTCTTCTCTACTGCCCAGCACTCTTGTGCGCTGCTCCCAGGTGGGATTCAGCTGTGAGGACACCTGGCCATTCCAGAGACTGAGAGGCCTCCCACGCCACGAGGCTTGTGGGACACATTGGACTCTTGTTATGAACTCGCTCCTTCTGTGGGAGAAACTGTGCTCTCCTGACCCAGTAGTTCTTTGGGAGACAGTGACATTGTTTCCACTCGCCCATGCCCCTAGATTGTACTTACAGGACTAATAAAGTGATTGCACAACTCACTACGCCTGCAGTCGTGGACTCTTTGTCTTGTCCATCTTGGAAGCAAACCCAGAGCCGTGCCGAGTTCAGATGCATCCATTCGGCACATCAAAGTTTCTTTTCCAGCCAGTACCACAAAAACACAAGCAAAGGTAGCCCCTGGGGACCTGCCTGGTGGCGTAGCAGGTGATGCCACCCCTGCCTCTGCAGACACTCCCACCCCACCTCCACCCTCTCCACCATATGCACAGCCCTTTCCTGGCTGCTCCACTTCCAGTGTGGCTCCCTTCCAGTCGCCTGGCAGAAGCAGCGCCACATGCCCCAAGGCTTTGGGCTCCTGCACCCACAAGGGAAGCCTGCAGGAAGCTCCCGACTGCTGGCTCGGGATCAGCATTCCTGACTCCTGGGGAATTATGTAGCAGAGAATGCAAGCATGCTTTCTCTCTCTGCCTTTCTGTTTCTCTATCTCTTCCTCTTTTCTCTCTGTATCCTGCCTTTCACATGCTAATCAGCATAACGTAAAAGAACTACTTTGTTGCCTCAGTGTTTAGATGAGCCACTGGTCTTATATTTGTTTCAAAATATATTTGATTGATTTTGCATTTTTATTGTATTCGAAATTCACAGAGGGATGTTCAATGGTTTTTTTCTGTCTGTTTCAGGCTTCATACTTTCTCTGCCAATCTTGTGTCTTCTATTATGTGTTTAGGTTGATTTGAATTTGGCCCAGTGCTATTGTTCCTTTCGTGTTCCCTGCTTAGAGCCTAGGAATATAACCTCTTTCCACATGTGTGCGTCCCCGTGTTTCTTTGGATGTCGTGATATGGCTCCTTTTTCTGCTTCAAATCTGCCCAGTTCTTGTGTTTTCTTTATTTGTGGTGTGAACTAGAACATTTAATTTTCTTCTCTGTGTCTCTGTGTCAATATTCGTTTTCAAGAAAAATAAATAATTATTTAAAAAGACAGAAATATTTTTTGTCTGCTTCCACATTCCCAGTTAGCTGCAACAGTCAGTACTGCAGCAGTACTAAGTCAAGGCCCGTAGCTCATTCTGCCTCTGCCATGGGGGTTACAGAATCTCATAAGTTCAGCCCTGCTTTACTATTGCATCAGCAGGGATCTGGACAGCAAGAGCTATTAGTTAGGATTTACAAGCTTGACACATAAAAGTTAAAAAAAAAATGGTCAAAGTGCATCGAAAGGTACATCACATAGGTGCCAACACTAGTAGTTTGCTATGCAAGCTGTTCCACCTTTACCCCATAAGGACACTGTTTTCCGTCCTGGCATCTCTGCTTCCAATTCAGCTGCCTGCCATTTGCAAGCAAACCTAGAATAACAATGGAAGGTGATCCAAGTATTTGGGCCCCTGCGTCCACATGGAAGTCCTAGATGAACATCCTGGCTGCTGACTTTAGCCTGCCCAGGCTTGCCCATTGTAGTCATCTGTCCCTTAAACGCATTATCTCTTTTTATATCTTTCCCTTTCTGTACTTTTGACTTTCAAAATAAATAACTCTTTAAAAATTTTTTTGTATGACAAAATAACTCACAGAACAGGAAACCCATTTGAGTTCTTAAAACATGAAAGTATTAAAATATCAGAAATGTTCCATTTTACAAAAATACCAGTTAATAATACATTTTTATACTTTTTAGTTGAGTACAGTTAGAAAAAGCAGCACTATGCTTGTTAGAAAAGATCAGCATACAATGATAGGAGGTGTATAATATAATCCAAACTCTACGAAGGTAACTGGGAAAAATTAAACTTGCATTTTTTAGTATTGCATTATTGCTTCTAGGTTGAGAGACTGAATATATAATTAGATAATGGCCAGATCTACATAAGAAGCTCAGGATATGGGGCCTGCATTGTGGTGTAGCAAGTAACATTGTCAGCTGTCGGAGTCCCAGCTGCTGCAGTTTCAGCTCCCTGTTGATGTGCCTGGGACGGTAGCAGAGGATGGCCCAGGTTTGCAGGCCACTCAGCCCATGTGGGAGACCCAGGTGAGGTTTCGAGCACCCGGCTTCCTTGAGGCTATTTCGATGTTGAGTCAGCAGATGCAGGATTTCTTCATCTGTGTCTCTCCCTCTTTCTGTGTGTAACTCTATCTTTCAACTAAATAAACAAATCTTAAAAAGACAGAAGAGAAGGAGAAGCAGCAGCTCAGGATGACAAACCACAAGCCCTGGAGCACTTAGCCTAGGATAAACAATGACGCCATCTTTCCCATTTTCACTCAAGCACCCAAGAAAGGCCCAATCAGACAAAGCCAAATATGGCGATAGACATCACTGACATATAATGCTCTGCTTATAGTTAGCCCACTTAGAACTTCTCCAAGTTAATACACCCCAGTCACAATCCGTGCTTGTTTTCCACCATGAGGTTATCCCATATTTTTTCTGTCTTTCAGTGTTTGCAAATGCAATGATGGTTGCTGAATCTCTTGCCATAGCTGGCTCTCAATAACAAGCTCCCATATGTCTTCGTGTGATTGGTTGCCACTCATTTTTTTAAAGATTTATTTATTTATTTATTGGAAAGCCAGATATAGAGAAAGAAGAAGAGACAGAGAGGAAGATCTTCCATCTGATGGTTCACTCCCCAAGCGACTGCAACGGCTGGAGTTGAGCCAATCTGAAGCCAGGAACCAGGAGCTCTTCCAGGTCTCCCACATGGGTGCAGGGTCCCAAGGCTTTGGGCAGTCCTCGTTTGCTTTCCCAGGCCACAGACAGGGAGCTGGATGGGAACCGGGGACCACCAGGATTAGAATCGATGCCCATATGGGATCCTGGTGTGTGCAAGGTGAAGGCTTTAACCACTATGCTATCACTCCAGGCCCACCATTAATTTTTATAAATATTTTTATATCAGGTTTACCTGTATCAAAAATACATAAGCTCTTTGACATAACACTTTCACTTGTAGGATTTTATAGAAGTAGTGCTGTTATGGAGTGGCTCTCCTTAGTTGCTGATGCCCATGTAGTGGACAGCATGCCCAGGTGCATAGGAAACATGACAGCCAGCTCATCTAGGCCAGCAGAGGATATTGAGTACCTTGCCAGAGGATGGAAAGAACAGGATGGGCCATTTTCCTGGCCAAGCTTTGCAGCAAGTGACTGGGTCTATGGATGTACGAAGGTGGACTTGGTCAGCCAACAAACCTTGGAAAGATTTTCTCAACCCTGGTGTAAGACAGCTGACTGCATTTCAGAACTATCAAAACCACTCATGTAACATTCTTGGAGCACTGTTCCCCACATCAGGGTCTCTAATGTGTCATCCAAAAACTGCCCTCCATTCCGGGTACTGATATACTTTGCCAGCAAGATGTGGTCTCCTCCCCTTCCCAGCTGCAAACACAGGGGAAAAAAAAAAACCCTGAAACATTTTTTCCTCCCACCTTTTCCATACCTTGACCCTCTTCATCTGTCAGAGGCCATTATGGGCATACATCAGACCCAATTATGTAAACAATACTGAAAATCAAAATGAAAATTTCTTAAATTTTTTAAAAAGATACTATAAATAAACAATGCACATAAAATATTTTAAATGTACTGCTATTTTGTCATCATGTCTCTGTATCTATTGTGCCTGAAGTCCTCCATAATATTTAGTGGATGAAACTATATGAAAAGAATTTCAAGATATGTAATAAAGTGAGGAAACAAATACAGAATGGAGAAAATGGTCTCTTCTGTAGAAAGAAAAGCATGTAAATGCATATGTGCTTGCAGAAGTTTTCTTGAATAGTTAACTAGGTAATTACTTGTGGTAGTTTCTTATAGGATGAGAAATAAAATAGGCAGGAGTGGATGGTAGAAAAGAAGGCATTTACTTTAAAATCACATCTAAAATCAATTTTATTAAGCTAACACTTACATACAATAAAGTGAAACCTTTTAAACTATACAATTGAATGACTTTTGACAAATATGTACACACATATAATTAACATCACGATAAAGATTTAGGGCATTTCTACTACTTCAAAATATTCCTTCTACTTCTCTGCTGCTACCAGAATTCAGCACTTTATGGGTAATAGGGCTGAGAACTGCATTTTCTGGACAGCTATCGGCCATAAACTTCTCTCAGTTCCTTGCCACAGAGACTTCTCCATAACCAACAACATAGCTAACAGCAGCTTGCTTTGTCAAAGCCAGAAAGTATGTACCTGCTTGAAAGGTTCAGTTTCTGGAACCTACAGAAAAAATATTGGTAATTTTCTTTTTTCTTTTTCGGTGCTTTCTTCTCTCTACCTGCCCTCTGGTATATAAATATCAGGTCTTTCTTGACTGTGTCTTTCAGGCATGGAGACCTCATGTTCCTCTGCGTGGTGTGATTTCTTCAGTCCCCCACCTTCCATGTCCCTCCATGAATTTTTCAATTAAGATACTATACCTGGGGCCAGCATGGTGGCACAGCAGATGCCTAGGATGCTGACATTCTACTTCCAACCCAGCTTCCTACTAATGGCCTGAAAAAATAATGGATCAAATGCTTGGTCCCCTGAATTTTGGCTAGCCTGGTCCAGTGCTGGCTGTTGGGCCTTTTAGGGAGTGAACAAGCAGAT